GTTCAGAATGTCTACGATAGAAATGTTTGTCCCGAATCCTATCACTTCCTCTATGTTTTGTATGAGAAGGAAACCGTACAAGAGTATGGGATGTGTTGGATGTTGTGGCCATATACAACGGATGCTGCAAAGCTTCAGTATTCACGATGGTACGCAATTTTGTGGAGCAAGAGCTCTAATACATCCATCCCAAGCTATGGAACATAGCTATTTCGATACCTAGTTTATTAGATATGTAATTTGGCAGCACAATTTTGGAATCCTTTCAAATAGTGGATTTGGGACTGGGTGTAGAAGTCCCAGACTGGTGCATCATATTTTAAAACGTATTGTGGGCACGCTCTTAAGTTTATGCGAAGAACTCTTTGGTGTGGTGTTTGCTCATGTGTTAATAGTGACCCCTAAGTAATTGCTGGAATGTTCTGTCTCTAGATGGTCGCCGTAAATGAATGTCATGGAATCCTCTTTCGACTGATGTGTACGCATGAGTATGCATTTTTCAGGATTGAACGTCATATGCCAGATGTTCCCGACCTCCAATGGCTCCCTAGACCCTGCTGGAGACGTTGGTTGTCTAGCTGTTTAGAGAGGTGGTCTGAACGAATCTATAAGTAATGCAGTTATCAGTGAAGAGTCGTACAGTGGATGTTACAGCAGGAACATTAAGGGACCTATAGCCGCCCCCTGGAGGACTCCAGATATAAGCTGAACAGATGATAAATGTATTCCTTCTATATTAACAAACTGTGTCCTATTGTCCTAAAAACATCATTGAGCTATATCGTAGTGATGGAGGTTTTACTGAAATACTGTGCATGCTTACATATATCATACACATACGTATATGTTAATTTCTTGCTACAAAATTGGATTTAAAAAAAATCTTTGGTTTGCAATAGTCATCTTTCCTTTCTCTTCTTAAATATGATATCCATTAAAATCCATATTTGCCTGAATTGTCGGCGTATCATCTGCTGATTGGCTAAAGCCTTTGGTATCCTTCAGAATGTTCCATCAATATGTATGGCATATTTCATTATCGCTTTAATTAATTTGAATAAATATTAACATACTTAGACTAGACATGTACAACCATTTTAGGAATATTCCATAAAAGATGGTTTAGTGGACATTTCTTGTTTTTATCTATCCAATAAATTGTGATTAGGCCCTCTTTTAACGTTCAAATGACGTCACCAAGTCTTAATGACGGTACGATAAAATTTATTGATTATTTCTTGGATTGTTAATAAAGAACAGAATTTTATTTGATGTACTATATATATAAACAGGATCCATATGATATGATCTCGCTTAACGGAGATTTTACAAAGGATGTACAACTGAACAAAATATTTTAATACAAATTAGGAATTAGATATAGTGAAGCCGATTAACGTATTAAAATTCATCATACAGTTGTTTCGTCCTTCAAGGACTCGTCAGTGACTTAAGAAGCTTCAAATTCGAAACCCAAGTGACGGCTGAGGAAATAAAAAAAAGGCAAAATCTCGATGCGAAGGTGCCTAGCCCCATGATCCATTAAATTAAAAAAAAATCCTATACAATGTATCTGACAATTTAAAAGAATGTCAAGTGAATGGCAGATTGTGTATAATTCTGGAACATACCATTATTAAAATACTTTTAAAAGTGGCATACAGGTTACGGCAAACCTCTGGGACTTCAAGTGCAACAGCAGTGTCTATCAACTGCACTCTCGAAGATTAAGTTTAAACATAACATCCTGACTTATTGACCTTGGAGAATCCGACAGGCCTGGTAGATATTTGTTTACAGTAAACACAGATATTAACGTATTGCAACTCTTTGGTTATATGCAGGATGATGAAAGTTATTTTTCATTATTTTTGTAAAGTTTTACGGTTGTCATAGTGATCTCATCGAGAATATAATCTGTTACCTGTTACTGATCGAGATCGGGGTATCTCAGTCAAGGGCTTATATCATGTAACATCGTAGCCTAGGATAACGCCTCGGTTGGGATTATGTTACAGGATTTTTTTCTCGAACCTGATACTCTGAAAATGATTCAATATTTCATCAGAGTTTTGCGTAGCCCGTGGGAGCCTCAAGCTACCCACACAGCCTCTTCACTTTTAAACAACGTTTGAATAGTGCCGCGTAAACAATGTAGGTCGCACTTTTAAAGTGAAGATCTGATTTTATCTACAACACCAGGAATCTTAAAAACAACAAAAATACACAAAACAGATAAGCTGAAATGCACGGATGTAGGTGCCACTTACGCCTACACGCGAATGAATACACAGATGCGTAAAAAAATCCGCGAAAACGTACTTAAGGGTACAAGACAGATAGGGTGAGGTAGAAGGTAGAATTCTAGGATGGGATGTTAAATTGGATATCTCTGTATGAGGTGCGAGATATATATATTTCTTTGTAGGGTATGAAAATTGACGTGTTTGATGCTCGATAAGTTGCCTGTTGGTTCCGTTTTTTTATACCTTATTCCACTTTGAGAACGTAACATTACTTACTTGGATTGCTAAGGATTTAAATGTTGGTGCCATCGATGAAACAGAAGACGCTTACTTTTCCGGTAAATATGGTCTTATTTTCCTTATATTTTTTCAGGAATCTCTATGAAGATCTTTTTTCTTTTATTAATTTTGTGCTCTAGTTTGATTGAATTTGACATTGTGAGTATGAATATGTTTTACAATGTGGTATTTCCTTGTAATATTTTGTCATATTTGTGGTCACAGTAAGTAGTCTATAATAACGTACTTTACAACAATGTCCTTACAGAATGAACAGAAAAGGACTCTGAAGTACTCAGGACGTGTTGAACTGCGTCGATAGAAGTTATGGATAATCATGATATCTCAGTGCGAACACATAATGTGACGATATTGACCGTGAACGGTACTGACCTACCAGCTCAGCTGATACAGCATAGTAATACAAGAAATATAATACAGGCATCATGAATCTGCCATTGTTATACTGATGCTCATGGTCACTGGATATTGTTATTCTGGTACACACGTGTACGTAGAACAGTCTGCCGAATCAACAAACAAAACATTGTCTAATTATCTATCTGTATGAATAACAAATGATCATCACTTCCATTAGTAATAAGCAAAAAGGTCAAAATATTCTGTACTCGTATAGCCATACAGGGGGAAAAGGACCAAAGCAATTTGAGAAACGGTCGTAATGAAATGACCACAGTCTACGTATTCTACCAAAGACAATGCATTTGGAATACAAAAACAATTAGTTACGCATACGGAAAGAGACGTATTTATTTAGATAAAAAAGTAACATTGTCAAAGCGTTTATTATATATACAAACTTAACTCTCATAAACAAACTGTATTCGTTATGAGACAATTTTGGAAAATTCATATTTTCAGAATATGGCCACCTAATAAAAACTAGGCCAACGATGGAATTCATCTTCGCTACCACATGTAAATATCTAGAAGGACGAGCCATTAAAACGAAATTAACGATAGATTACCGAACACAAGACGTGCGGAAACTGAATAAATAATTGGAAATTATACATGGCCAATGCTTAATTGATTCATTATCTTGTGTTGGGTGCTACACCAATAGTGTTAGTGATATATTCGGTAAAATGCCATACTCACTGATCTTATAATTACAATGTATAAATCAATTATATGAAAATTCTGTCACCGATTCTCACATTTGTTGATATTGGCATGAGTTCAATGGATACAACTTGTGATGAATTCATGATGGTATGCAATAAACACAGTTGTATCCGTTGCAGTCATGACGCAGTAAACGCAATCACCACTGTCCTTTCTACTAATTCAATATACAGACCAAATGCAACGATCAGAAGATAACCATGTCATTATATATATCTATGATTTTCTTTTAGTCAATCTATTTATTTATTGATGTACAAGGTCGAATACCTTGTGTATTGCCGAATACAGATTAACAAAAAACATGACGTGACGGGCGTACGGAGGGGGAGAGGGTAAGGAACCTCCCAACTAAAATGTCTTCCTGGGCGTTCTTCTCTACGTAGCTTGTGATGCGCCTGGAAATCCAGGCCTGTTGCATTTAGGATGGCGTTACATTCAAACAGCACACGATGGAAGAGGACATTGGTATTGACAAGAACAATGCCATTATCTTGTCATATAGAATCACCTTCACTTAGGATGCACAGTATGTCACATGTAATTCACATAGTTGGTAATGTGACCAGTCAGTTGATAAATGGCTGGCAGCAATCACATATGAAATACTATGCACTATTTCTGCACAAATATTTCAATATTTATGAGATAAATGTTTGATAGCTATCAATACATATATTGACTGGCATACTGTCTGAATATTCAATATCAGACTTCATGTCTGCTCCAGACTTGTCATTAGAAGATGTGTCCTTTTAAGTTAGCGGAGACATCACTGACTCATAAAAAAATAAACAATGCTGGTTGTGGAAAAAAAAAACTTTTCATTAATGTAATTTGTCATTTTCACTTTCCAAATTCTTCTGTCAAAAAAGAATTGCTATAATCTTGTTGTCTATCTGAAGTATTGTTTCCAATTTTAAAATGACAGATTTTATGAATTATTAACTAAATAACTTCATAAAAGCATTTCTGAAATCGCAAGTAATTGTTTCAATTGGTTAATGGTATTTCAGATTGCGTGAGGGTAATTACAGTTTGAGATTTTACAACATTTTCTAATCCTGCATGCCGACTCTCAGTCCACGATGAGCGGTTGGGTGAAGTTGTGTGTATTGATTGGTGGCAGGAGGCCCTGTGCTACTCTAGTACAGCCACAGTGAATACCTGTGTGTGTTAGTACTCCAGCTTTATCTTCGCTGCATTCAGAAAATGCATACCTAGATCAGTACATTGTCGAGTGTCCGTTCAGTGATTTCTTCAACTTCACATAACACGTATTATCTACCGAGAAATGTACCACTGTTGTGAAACAGACACATTTCAGAATCTATTTACTTTGTAAGGTCAAAAGTTCAACTTAGGATAAGCGGAGCACGTGATATGTTTACGGATTTCATTAGTGGAGTGTGATTCGCAAGGACAAACAGCTGACCGTTTAATATCTAGTAAATTTCTGCAACCAAGAGTGCCAGCATGTCTTCTGAGGGTGCCAGTAAGCCAGAGGGCAAGACCGTGTGCATCGCCATCGATGGCAGTGAGACAGCCAAATACGCCCTCGACTGTAAGTATTGATAGAACTTTACTATAGGCACGCTAGACACAATGTTTATATCTTAAAACCTGTGTGTACACCACTGTCTCCCAACGTTTATAAATTTAGCTTGATATCTTGTTTTGACGTCTCTGGTGTCATCTTACATGAAGGCATAGAATAAATTATGTTGGTAGCAAGCCTATACACTCCAGTTACACGATGGTGGTGCAGTATGGCGTTCATGTTTTAGTAATGAAGATTTATTAATTTTGTTTACATTGCACAACGGTCGGTTACATGTTCATTATTGTATCAGGATGCTAACAAGTGGTAGAATACGTGTTACTGACTTAGTACAACTTCAATGACAGCTTAACATTCATCAATTATTCGAAATCTTGAAAATACATAAAACAGATTTAAGAAGAATCTATCTTTGAACTAACCTCTTCTCATAAATACTGATGACGATTTTGGATTAGACTGGTTAAGAGGACAGTGCTTTAAAGTCCTTGTTGTTAACAGCTGTAGTCAACTGTGTACTGCCATAACAGAAACATGAATAACTAGCATCAGATGATGTAAAAATAACCTCTAATTTATAACATACTAACAACATCTGTTATCTATAGACTGCCTAAGAAAGACACACAGTGGTAGATAGGAACCAGTCACCACTGTCCAATGGAAAGTCTTGTTACACATTTAGGATATCACACATTGTAAATTAACATTATCTTTTCTACAGCTCTTGAAGATTTTTATGAGGCCGACATCAAAGGTATTCGAGGACACTGTCTTAAAATGAGTTCCTCAGAAAGGCAATTATATTGTGTTATCTACCTTTTATGTATAAAATAAGTTACTATGATGTAGAAACTAAAGGGATACGCATGTACAGACACCATTAAGGGTTACACATTACCGCAGTCATGCCAGTACTATAGTTTCAGTCTGAAGTCAGTTACATGAATATACTATGACTTACCATCACATAAGTTATTTTGTAATGCTATTTGTCTATGTTGTAACATAACATAATATGGATGTAATGTTAACAAAATTAGTTTCCCTACACGTCTGTCGAAATGGCCTAGCAATACAAAACGTTTATCAGACTCATCTTTCTCTTGAAGAAACGCAGGATATCTGCGGAAAACCGGAGTAGTTGATTTAAAACATTTTATCTGTTCAATATAACAAATGGGATTAGGCACACGTTATCATAACTTCGCCTTCTCTCCAAAAATATGGACTGATTCACTAACCCGAGTAGCTGATTTAAACATAATTTATTTGTTCAATATAACAAATAGGATTAGGCACAAACTATCACAGCTTAGAAAAGCATTCTCTCTTTAAAATATGGAAACTACACGAACCCGAGTAGCTGATGAGGCGACCACATACTTTCACGTCCGATCCGGCAATCGAACCCTGGTCGCCTAGGTACGTTACCACTGCATCCTCCAACCATCCAATAGGTATACATGTGAGTCATCCAACACGTTAGGACTGGCATGAAATAATAAGGTGGTAATGATGATCTCATACCGTAAAAAAAATATTTTCAGGTTTTTGCTGGACTCAATTTTTGCGGTTTTCCATAAAAATACTTTCCATGGACTTGATTTCGTTGACAAATATAGCTAAATAAATCTAATTACACTTATATTAACAGTAAATGGATTAACAGTAGCAATTTAATCAACGAAAATATATCCTCATAAAAACGAAATTTTACAGACCGTTCAAATTCAGTACCGTTATGTATATTCGACATGACGCCGTGGACTTAATAGTCCTGCCTCATCTACTGGCTACTCTCGTCCATGTTTCACACTTGTTCAACGTGTTTTGAATATCAACAAGGACTAATAACACATGCCACACGGATTTATGTTTTATATAATATACCCCAACCTTACCGAAGACATTGAACCCAATATTCACCCGAGGAAACACCGCAGAATCGGAATGACTCGCCATGAACTGCCAACTTTCATTGCATCTAATGAATACAATCAATCTTTGTGCAAACCTAATGCAATGTGTTTTCATTTCGTGAACACTGCATCATTATACAGACACGCAATATATACGCTGATCCAAATGTGCCACCTCAATGTTGAGTGATCTAAGTAAACTCTGCTGACAGTCTCTCTGGGCTACCTCTTCTGATACTGTTAATAGGATTGACATCGACTGGTTTTCAATTGGCTTGTTAAAATTCCAATCTATCTAATGTACACATGTACCAGCATGAAGTGACAGTTTGCTTTGATATGATATCCGTTTTTTAAAAAGGACAGGGATTTCAAAATGTCAATGGCAACAGTTTAAAATACCATTACATCAGTGGAAAATGTCCGTGACAGAACCGAGTAATTCTGTAAAATACTTTGTCCCTCCGCTTCCCATCCCCCCCGAAAAAAAGAGAATCACCTGCGTAATGCTATTTGAAAATGTGTTTGAATGGCAATTGTTCTCAAATACAGACAATTTAAGAGATCATTAACTGCAGCTCATATTGTCATTTCCTAAACCAAAAACAGTGATGATATCCAATATTGGCTCTTCAGAGTTGGAGTTTCTGTCAACGACATAACTCCTTAAGTCGAAAAAAATTATGAGTATCTGATCAAACTTAAACTCTACACTGAAACAAAACAGGTTTGTATGATGTGGTATATTGATTAACCAGCCTCCACGTAAACATCGTTTAGTACTTCTTCTTCGTATCATTATATGTAAATACTACAAGATATACCTTCCCTGTTAATAGTTGAGGTGGTAGAGCTTGATAAACGTACAACATCAATTCAATTCTAGAGGTATTGACCAATCGAAGGTCTGAATCAATATCATAAATAATACATTGAGTGCAGGGTTAGCTTTGTCTAAACAAATAATTATTTGTTGCAAAGATCTTCATTAACGAAGTGTCCTTGCACGCAAGTCATTACCTTATCTTTTTCTATGTAGTAGTATGACTTATACAAAGTCGTATCAGACATATTTACGAAATAACGCAGTGTCCTTACACGCGAACCATTACCTTGTATTCTCCCGTGTGGCGGTATGGTTTTTACATAGCCATATCAGATATATGGACGAGTTAATGCAGTGTCCTTATACGCGAGTCATTACCTTATCCTTTCCCGTGTTGCGGTATGACTTAAACAAGAAGTCGCATCAGATATATGGATGAATTCGTAATGATGTTAGAGACACGTTGCATTTCAATCCATTTGGGAAAGCATGCTGCCGTTGATCACATCCAACAGATAAATATTGATGATGCTACAAATGGAAATTTGTTGCTAAAAACCGTCATTGAAAATGTTAAAATACTTCCGTACTTTACCGGAACATAACACTAAGCCATGTCACACAGATCGTCATTGTGCATTTGATAAAAACTTCATACCGAGGGAATATGATACTTGCCCGATCATTTGGTTGAGCCTTTCAATCATTGTTGTACGAACAATCGACTTTAATTGACGACAGGGATTGTCAGAATTATCAAATTTCGCTTTTCTCTTCCATTGTTGAAATCAATTCGTGTCATTCGTGTCATAACAGTTTTTACAATGTAATACTTTATATTGATCATAGTAACACTAAAACATCAAATATAATTTTTATCAGCTTAACCGCTTTTCCTCAGTAGTAGTATTCCAGCCTCCCTTTGCTCACATGGTATTCCTCTCTCTTACTAGTCTTAGGAGTTTCCAACTAACATGCTAAGCTTTGTGATGGACTCTTTTTTTCTTAGCTTAAAGTTTAAACTTATGAAATACATATATGCTGAAGAAAAAATTGGACTTGACGTTTCTGTATCAATTCATATTATTGCAATAAAAACACTCCATACTTTCCAGTGATTATTTCAGCATCTGATTCTCTCGCAAAATATGCTCACAGTATTAAGCAATTACTAAGCAACGGACTAACGTATTCTGCGTTAATATGGCGATATACAGTTTTCTAATTTTGATTGTAGACAATATGGAATAAGTCATTTATGTATTAGCGTAGGGTTCACGCACATACTTTTGAAAAACATCTGATAATTAGTTAAAAGTTAAATAGATGAATTATTTACGATCCATAATGAATATTTTATCACGCTTTTTAAACCATGTAAATGAACGTCTTTGCTATCTTGGGCATCTAAAAGACTGCCAGGATTTTGTATTGATGTCCTGTAGCGCTGTACCATGTATTGGCACATAGTCATACAGCCGTATTATATGGATTTCCTGTTGTGAACCATTGATTTTTCTGCTCGTATATTAGCACAACAATTAATGTAGGTAATTATCCATGGAAACCCAACTCCTGGCAGGCAGTATACAGACACATGTAAACTAGTTAGATGTAGAAACAGCCGACATCATAATCTCATAAGGCAACGATGGGATGCTTTTACACATTTCAAAGGTTTGTTTTGGAAGACGATTTCTACCACAAACTGAACTCGTTATTGATTGAGTCACAAGTTTACTGATCCTTTCATCAGCATCTTATACTTGTCACTATGGTAACACATGATTGCTTTCAATATACTATTTAACGATTTAATGACTTACAGGGTTTCAAAAATGCGAATTAGTGAAAGTTATACGGACGTTTCTACGGTAGTCATAGTAATTTCATCGGCAAATATTCTATTTTTGTCTGAAATATGAAGCTGGACATGTTCGGTTCTCTTTAGTTTGCATGTTGGTTGCATTGTTGTATACCTTGTTCCCATTTGCGAACGTGCATTACGTACTTGGATTGACCAAGATTTACATGGTGGATGTTGTCGATGAAGCAGACGACGCTTACTCTTCTGGAACACCTGGTTTTATTTTCCTTGAATTTTTAACAGGAGTCTCCGTGTAAATCTCTTGATCACAGTTTTATTGAATTTGAGTTTGGATAATGATCTTGTTGAAATTATTGTATTTTGTTTTTTTATGTGGTACTCTTCATGAATACCGTAACAGTTGTTTATTTATATGAAATGTATTTCT